GGGGCTGGGGCTGGGGCTGGGGCTGGGGCTGGGGCAGGGGCTCAGCCTGGGCTTGGGCTTGGGCCTGGGCCTGAAGTTGAGGATCAGGCAGCATCTCCAGCTGAGGCTGGGCCTGAGGTTGTTCTGCATCCTGACCCCTGATGGGGGACGTAAGGTGCCGAAGCTGCGAAGACCCAGGTTTAGTTTTCCGAGGTCGGCCTCGGGCCCGGGCAGGAGAACTGGCAGAGGAGCTAGAGCTGGCCAGCTCCCGCTTCCGAGAGAAAGCGGCTATGCGGGGAGTTGGCTGGGCTGCCACTTTCACGTCAGGTTCTTGCTTTATTACATCCTCAGGAACTGTGAAGGGAAGTGAGAAGTTTAAGACACAAACTGATGTATATGTGCATGGTGTACAGATAAGACACACGCTATTTCTCTTGGACATAACTGCCCCCCCCCCAAAGATTTATCTCATTTATTTATGCATACAAGTCAAGAACTGGATAACAGTACAGGTGGACTGGCTGAAATCCACTGAGGGGAGCAGCGGGGGACAGGGGGGGTCTGCTGTGCCCTGGGGGTCACTCCCTGGCTAGGGATTGAACTCAGGCCCGGGTGGCTGCAGACAGCTCCACAGTGCTGAGACTTAACCCCTGTGCCCCAGGGAGACCCCCCTTCCCATTTTCAGCCTCCACCAGAACAGCTCGCCTTCCGCCTGTGAGCACAGTATCTGGGAAACACTATTCCCCCAAGAGCAGCAGCACAGCCACAGGCTAGTGGTTCTGACAGCCAACTATAAACACTGTGCTGACAGCTTAAGTCACTTTAACTCTCACCACAGCCTTGTGAAGTGCTCGTACTATGACTTCCCCAGTCTCACAAGTAAAAAGCATCAGAACAGCAGATCAGCTGAGTGGGCATCTGTGCGCTAGTGAATTACACTAATGCTGCTAACACAAGTAGACCTCGCGGTACACGCGGTGGGAGAAAACCTCATTTCGGTTAGGGGTGGGGATGAGCGCGCCTTACTTGGGCCAGACAGACCGCACAGAACCAGTCTCCTTCTGGGACCGCCTCCATCTTGGGCCGATGGCAGTAAATGTGGCAGCCCCGGTCACACCCATCACACAGCAGAAGGAACTCATCGTTGTCACCCTTCCGGCAGACTAGACAGGTCTGTACCGAGGTCACGAGGAGGCAGAGTGAGTGCCCGGTCCCTGCTTGCCAGGGACCGCCCGCCCCGGCTGGCTCCCTCCAAGGCGCGCCCGCGGCTTACCACTTTGTTGACGGATTTCTCCCAGGCGAGGGAGCGCTCCAGCTGGCCCAGGCACAGGCACACCTGGGCTGCGCTCCTGCACCGCTGCAGCGTCTGGCGCCACGCCCGGATTCGGGGGGTGATCTCATAGGATCTGGAGGGAGAAAGTGGTGATCTTTGGAAAAGGCACACGGTCCGCTGCGGGAGGAGTCGCCCTCCTCCCAGGCTGGGAGCGGGCTCCGGGGAAGGGTTGCTCACATCTCTGTGGCGGCACACTGGGCACCGGCAGGCGTGCTGAGCAGGGCCTTCTCCAGCACCACCTCGTGGGCTGGCCAGAGGGGCTCCCGGAGGTACCGCCGCTCCACATTCTGCTCCAGGGTGGCCAGCCGGATCACAGCCAGGTCCAGAGGGTTGGTAGTTTTCCGCTGGGGTGCCAGCCCTTCCCTGCTTCTCCCTCTCCAGGTGATGTCCTCCTGGCAGTCGGGGAGGTGCTCGCAGTAGGACAAGTCTTCACGGGTGGAGTCTGGACTAGGACACGTCCAGCCCTGCAGGTGGGAGAGGAATGGAACATAGAGTAAAGGAGGCAAAGAAGGCAGAGGAATATAGGTGACCCACTTAGGGGCCCAGGAAGACTTTTCTGACAGGACAAGAAGCTAGGCACCACCCCTGCACAGGAACCCCCCCCCAAGGGCCAGCCGCGTACCCGAATCTGCAGGTCAGACAGGATGACTCGCTGCTCTAGCTCCTCCACCCACTGAAGCACAGCCAGGTCTGTCTCGTACGTCTTGTCTCTGGAGGACCAGCTCACAGTCCCTTCTGGAAGGGGAGGGAGCTGAGGTGGCTCAAAGATGGGATCTAAGAACACAGAAGACAGAGGGAAGGCCCTTCACCCGCAGTCCACAGCAGCAATGCAACACCAGTCCTCAGCTCTTCCAGCTCAGGCGGGGTCAAGGGATCAGCTGCACTTACCAGTGGAAGGCCGCAGGCAGACTTCCTGTAAGAAATCCCTGTGCTTACTGAGGTGTTTGTGAAGTGCCTTCTCCCGAATGCCTCGGGGATGCAGGGCCTTGAGCACAGCCTCTAAGGTCTCAGGATCTCGGATCCACCACCACCCCGAGCGCATCTCTGTAAGTGGGGTTCATGCATTTGGGGTGAGGTGTGGGAATGGGCTGCAGCCACAGCGTGCACAGCAGGTGCTGTGCCCCACCCCCTCACCCCCAGGTCACTCACCAGGGGGCACAGGCTGGGCTGTCATCTGAGTGAGGTAACGCTGCTCCATCTGTTTGAAGAACTTGCTGGGGGGCCTCCCTCTCCGTTTGGGCTGTCCTAATCCTGTGGCGCTCGGCGTTTCTCCAGGCTCGCCTGCTCGCCTCTTAGGTCCCATGCCAGGCAAGGGAGTAGAAGAGAGTGGCGCGGGAGCGCGGGGGCTGGAAGCACCGACTCTGCTCACCTGGGGATGACAGGAGACCAGGGGATGAGGAACTGTTCACTACAACAACCCGCAGCCAGCCACTGAGGCCCGGGGCAGGACGACCAGAGAGCACACCGCTACCTCAGGACACTTACTGGCTTGGAGGCGGCAGGCAGCTGAGGGGAGGGGGCGTTCTGATCTTCCAGCATCGCTGGGGGTGGTGTTGGGACAGCATTGCAGGGCGTCTGGGCTGAGAAGTCAAGCCAGGGGGCTTGTAAATCAGGGCTGGGCTCTGCCTCATCAGGCTCTGGTCCTCCTGGCGGCTGTGCCGGGAGCAGGTCCAGTTTTCCCGGGCTGCTATCAGGCGTGAGCACCGAGCTACTCAGTAAGGAGCCGTGGCTCTGAGTCTGGCTCAGCCAAGACAGGAAGGCCGATTGACTAAGGTCATGCTGACTCTGACCCAGAGACAGAGGGGAGCATTCTGGCTCCAGGAACCCATTATGGGGCTGGGACTGGGACTGGGACTGGGGCTGGGGCTGGGGCTGGGGCTGGGGCTGGGGCTGGGGCTGGGGCTGGGGCTGGGGCTGGGGCAGGGGCTCAGCCTGGGCTTGGGCTTGGGCCTGGGCCTGAAGTTGAGGATCAGGCAGCATCTCCAGCTGAGGCTGGGCCTGAGGTTGTTCTGCATCCTGACCCCTGATGGGGGACGTAAGGTGCCGAAGCTGCGAAGACCCAGGTTTAGTTTTCCGAGGTCGGCCTCGGGCCCGGGCAGGAGAACTGGCAGAGGAGCTAGAGCTGGCCAGCTCCCGCTTCCGAGAGAAAGCGGCTATGCGGGGAGTTGGCTGGGCTGCCACTTTCACGTCAGGTTCTTGCTTTATTACATCCTCAGGAACTGTGAAGGGAAGTGAGAAGTTTAAGGCACAAACTGATGTATATGTGCATGGTGTACAGATAAGACACACGCTATTTCTCTTGGACATAACTGCCCCCCCCCCAAAGATTTATCTCATTTATTTATGCATACAAGTCAAGAACTGGATAACAGTACAGGTGGACTGGCTGAAATCCACTGAGGGGAGCAGCGGGGGACAGGGGGGGTCTGCTGTGCCCTGGGGGTCACTCCCTGGCTAGGGATTGAACTCAGGCCCGGGTGGCTGCAGACAGCTCCACAGTGCTGAGACTTAACCCCTGTGCCCCAGGGAGACCCCCCTTCCCATTTTCAGCCTCCACCAGAACAGCTCGCCTTCCGCCTGTGAGCACAGTATCTGGGAAACACTATTCCCCCAAGAGCAGCAGCACAGCCACAGGCTAGTGGTTCTGACAGCCAACTATAAACACTGTGCTGACAGCTTAAGTCACTTTAACTCTCACCACAGCCTTGTGAAGTGCTCGTACTATGACTTCCCCAGTCTCACAAGTAAAAAGCATCAGAACAGCAGATCAGCTGAGTGGGCATCTGTGCGCTAGTGAATTACACTAATGCTGCTAACACAAGCCACGGAAAGACAACCAGACAGAGGAAAGGGAGTATTTGAATTTGCTACAAAGCCCCCCTGGTGGTGCAACGGGTTAGAGCGCAGCACTGTGAAGCTGTCTGAGTTTCATCCCGGCCAGGGAGTGAGCCCAGGGCGCGGCAGACCCCTCCTGTGTCCCCGCCGCTCCCCTTGGCAGTGTATTTCAGCAGATCCACCTGTTCTGCTCCCCGCTGTCTCTGCGCATCCCCTCCCCCACCCCTCCCCACCCCTCTGGCCTCCTACATCCCAGTTCTTGCGTGCATAAATACATACACCTTAAAAAAAAAAAAGCCCAAGGACTCACCCCAGGTGCCCACAATACACCTACCGAAGCTCCCCTCTGTTCCTTCCACGAAAATACCAGCCAAGCAGGGCAGCACCCAGTAGCGGCGCCTGTAGCGATCCTGACCCAAGGACACTGCCCGAAGCATCTGGGACGAATGTAGCAGCTTTTTTCTAAAGAAAAGCTGACGCTGGTGAGCACGGAAAAAGCAAATGAATACAGAGCGGCAGAGGCGGCCCCACCCAGTGTCTGGGAGGACCACAGCGCTCGCTCAGCGGCCCTCTCAACCGCCCTCTGGGGCCCACCCCCGGCGCTCAGCTCCCACCCCCACGCTGCCAGGTCCCGGAGGTCAGAAACACACACCTTGCTGAGTTTTTCTATCTGGCGCTCAAGCTCAGGGATGCTGGATGCTGTGGCATCAATCTAAGTAAAAAAAAAAAAAAAAAAAAGTCACATGGAGGAAAAGGGACCGATCTGCATCAAGAGAAAGAAGCCACCGCCAGCTCCCACACCCCTCGGGCCGGCGAGCACCTCTCCATCTTTCCGACCCCTGCGGCCCGAGGCAGCGGCCGTCAGCTCTTCTTCCTCCTCCTCTTCCACGCCACTGGTCTCCTCCATAATCCGAGAGCTGCGCCTCCGCCCCAGGCCCTCCTCTGGCCCTTGTATCTCCACTTCAGGCCGCCCGGTTCGCTTTGCCAAGACAGTTTTCAGCCTTGAAACAGACAAGAGACGAGGGAATCTGCGTTGGGGACTGTGGTATCGCCAGAGGGAGGACCTGGGCCCTCAGCCAGCCTGGCCCTGGGGTAAGTTCCCGGCCCCAGGGAGGGGAGTACCCAGGCCTGGGCCACAGAAGCAGTCGCTGCCTCGCCCCTTCCCCTCCTCTCCATGCCCTCGTGTGTCCGGCCCTACCTCCGGAGCCGGCCTTCCACAGTCCACTTGTTTTTTCTGCAGCTGGACATGCTCTCCAGGGTCTTGTCAATCTCACTGCAGAACAGGGAATGGGACTTTGAGGTCTACAGAGGTGACAGAACGGAGGCTCGGGGATAAAAAGGCTGCAGCTGCGCGGCTCCAGCCCAGAGCTGCTGAGTGGCAGAGGAAGGCTGAGCTCCCTCCCTTGGGCAGCGGTGAGATCCAGTCTCCCAAGCCACTCCAGCGTTCCCAGAGTCTAGCAGCAGACACATCCCTTAGGACTTCTAGACAGCTCCCCGCCTCCCGCCCTCACGCATGCTGAACCAAGCAGATATCCACCCCTCCCACCCCAGCCCCTCACTTGATGATGAGGGTGGAGCTGTTGAGCTCATGGACCAGGAAGGCCAGGACAGCAGCCTTCTGCTGGGGCGGCTGGGCCTGAAAGGGCTGGGTGCGCAGACTGTCACAGAGGGCGGGTTCTACCCCATACGCCATGAGGAAGCAGCGCAGGATCTCAGACACGTTGTCTCTCGTCAGTGGGATCTCCGACACCTTTTCCCCCAGGATCTTTAAGGACTGTTTGGAGTAGAGCACAATGGAGTTAAGAGAAAAAGGGACAAGTCGAGCTGAGTGAACCTAGAAGAGGAAAACACAGTGGCAGAGAACTATGGGGTTAAGACAGGAAAAGAAAAGAATGAAGTTGCAGGTCCTCCCTGGTAGCACCATGGGCAACTTTCAGCACTATGAAGCTATCAGCAGCCCCGGCAGCCTGAGCTCAATCCCCAGCCAGGGAGGGACCCACAGGGCGCAGCAGACCTCTTCCTGTCTCCCTGCTGCCCCCTCGGCAGTGTGTTTCAGTAGATCTGCCTGTTCTGCTCCCCACTCTGTCTCTGGGGAGTCCTCTCACCACCCCGTACCTCTGGCCTGTACCCCACTTCCGGCTGCATGCATGCATGCATGAATGAATGAATGAATAAATAAATCTTGGGGGGGGGGAAGAATAGGAGTTGCTAGGAGACAAAAGGTACAAAAAGGGAAAAAAGGACAAGTCAGAAGAAAATCAAACAGAAAGGAAAAGAAAACAAACGCAAGACATTCTCCCTCCACTTGTCCTGACCAAGCCGGAGAGGGGCTTTTAGGCATTTAACTTAGAGAAGCAAAACAGACAAAAGTGCTGGAGCCCGGCCGACCAGGCCGCCTGCAGAGGGGCCCACCTGGCAGTAGGCAGGCAAGCCAGGGTCGTGGAGTGCGGCCTTGAGGAGCCGCACCAGCAGATCTTGCACTTCGCCCAGGCTGTCGCCCTGACACAAGAGCCCCTCCTGCAGGACGCCGAGGCTGGGCACATCTTTGGCTGGGTCGAAGCCCAGCACCTTGCCGAAGCTGTGCAGGAACTCCACAATGGTCAAGCAGTCTGAGAAGGTCCCACTGGGGAGGATCAGACCAGGGATGTGAGAGAACTCAGGCAGAGGCTGCAAAAACAAAAGTGGTGAGGTCCTGTAAGCAGACAGCACGTCTGGAAGGGTCTTCCTGTGGGAGACAGGAAGTGCAAGAGGCCCTGCAGGACCAGGCCCACCCTATGCCCTCACTACCTGATGGTCGGTCAGACACATGTCCTCTGTGGGCTTCTTCATCTCCTCCAGGATCATCTGCTGCCTCTGCCGTTCCTCCAAGCGCCTCTGCGTGGCCAGCGTTTTCTCTTTACCAGCCGTCTTGGCTCTGGCCACCTCCTCTTTCTCCTTCATTTTAACCTTCTCTTTCTTCTCCTTCTTGACCTTTTCCTTCAGCTTTTCCTGCTTTGTCTTCACCTTCTCCTTCTCAGCCTACCGACACCGAGGGGGAAAGGAACAAAGAAAGCCATGAAGACCCAAGTCGCCTTCATTCTCCTGGCTTGGTCCACATCTGCCCAACCTCAGAGCCCAGACACACAACTATAAGGTAAGACCAACTCACACAACTTGCAAAATCAGCATGGAGACTTCAAAATGACACCTGTGTGTACATGCACCTACCTTGGATTTCTTCTTTGCTTCTTTCTGCTTTAAGCTCTTGTTTTCTTGTTTCCGCTTGTTTCTGGCCTGTAAACATAAGAGGAGTCACTTCTTCTCAAAACCTGAAAGCACGTCTGCTTGGGCTGGAGTCAAAACAGACATGGTGCTGGGGAGGGGACGTGAGCGGCGGAGTGAGGCCTGGCAGTGGAGGTGCCCTGGAGATGCCCCCATTATTATTATTTTTTCCCTCTAAATCAAACTCCAAAAATCTGCAAGTGTGCTGCTGAAGGAGACAAGCAGCTGCGGGGAGAGGAAGCAGGGAGCAGGCTGTGGGGCGTCAACCCACGGTGTAACTTGACGTCTACCTGCCCCTGGGTAGTCGTCGGACACTCCCCCCGCTGCACCTTCTGCTTCACCTTCTTCTTGATCTTACTCATCCTTGCTTTATCCTCCTCATTCAGTGTTTCTGCAAGGCAGAAAAGAAATGGAAGCGTTAAGCAGACAGATCAACTCCCGGCATCCCCAATAGCACATGGCTGTCACAAGGCTGTATTCCCAAGCGGCTCCCTGAAAAATCTAGTTTTTCTTAACCATACATAATAAAATGTTGGGGTGGAGGGGTTAGGAGAGGATCTCCGACTGGAGCAACAGAAACAACTCAAACTGAAGTCCTGCCTAGAGTCACCCTGGACCAGACAGACCGCTCAAGAAGGGCCTCAGAGGCCACAACGGCAAAGGGCCCTGCAGCCACCCTGTCTACAGTCTGGCCTGGCAGAGCTACTGTTCCTGCGCAGTAGAACCCCACATCCCACTGTAGTAAAAGGCTGAGTGTTTCCCTTCTAAGTGTGAGTTTACGAGCTCCCGTCTTTCACAACTGCCGTTTCTGATGATGACAGCATGGTTCTATTCTGGCACAGGAGCATGACCGCACCACATCTGGCCTCTGTGTGAGACAAACTATCTGCAGATGAACCACCAGTGGCTTCTATTATATGTGAAGTGATTTGCTCCAGGTCTTACCATCAGAAAATGGCAAAGCAGTAGCGCCAAATTTGAGTGAGAAGACTCGAAAAATTTTCAAATTCTTTATGCTCTACCAGGGTAAATGCAACATTTACAGGAAGAAATTGGCCATCTCCTCATCTATCCCACTAAGATAGTGACCACAGTCATCTCTTGGGTTCAGCTGTGAATTCCGAACCCCTGTGATGATGGCAACGAGTGTGCACACTAGAACCAGGAAGGTAAGGAAGGAGCAGAGCCGTGAGGGAGAAGAGGCCAGCCCAGAGCAGCTGGCAGAGGGAACTGGCTGCGAAAGATGCACACACAGGCGTGGGGCTGCAGCTGCTTCCGGAAGGGAGGCGGCCCGACTGGCTCTGAGCACACCATGTCAGCTGGACTCTGGGTTTCCCAAGTCTCAGCGCCGCGTCAGTCTCCCAGATCATGAGCATGCTGAGCAGAACCCCAAAGAAACACCACTGTACCTTGGGCCTCCAGTTTCTTCAGGAGGCGGTTTTCTGTCTTATTCAACAGTTCAGTGATTTTGACCTTGGGCGGCCGACCGCGGCCCCGTTTCACTTTGGGGACCTCCTTGGCCTTAGCCTTCTCCGTGTTTCGAGGTCGGCCTCGCTTCCCAGTGATCGCCTGAATCCTGGACGGGATCTCCTCTGCGGAGAGCCGCACCCACTGCAAGCCCTGGGGTTGTGAGAAAGACTGTTACGACGAGGGGCCAGAGCAAACAGGCCTGCAGACTAGCTACTCGCTACCCCACAACATTCAAACCCCACAAGAAGGTACGGTACAGCTTATCTACAAGCCCTTTCTCAGGAGCAACACATTCAACCCTTGGGTCTGCACCTCTGGTGTGTCTCTCTCTTCAAAGAAATCTCCAACAGGCATCCGAGGGCTGAAGCTGAAGTGCTCACGGCGGACACTGTGTCCCACATTGCGGCTCAGGTACTAGGGGGAAGAGGCAAAGTGGCATCAGTAGAGCCGGCCCTACCATGTGCTGGCCAACACTAGCAGAGCAGAACAGGCCTAACCCAGAACACCGCCAGCATGTGACTACCGGGCCCAAGAAAGGAGTCCGTGAGTCCCCAAAAAGCCCATGCAAGCGGCATTTACCTTAATCACTTCTGGGAACTGTTTCATTCTCTTCCCACAAGGGCCATAATACCAGGTCTCCCCCTGCCATCGATGGCTGCCCTTCTTGATGCGTACCTCTCTCCGCCACCTGCCAGAGAAGCACACGGGCCCTGCCGCCAGGTCACACTCCTACTCACTCCCCAACCACCCAGGAGCCACGCCCCGTGAGCAAATGGAAGTCCCCACAACCATCTCACTAGGACTGAACGGAGATGCACGAGACACAGGCTTGGCCAGAAAACAGGCCTGAGCTTCACCAACCTGGTGGGCCTGGAAGCTGGGGTGGTGTGGGGGCAAATACACTAGACTGCACAGGTGCGGAAACCTCTCACCCCTTTCAAGTCACTGAGAGGCCAGCAGACGCCCCTCCCAGCCAGTCAGGACAGAGGAGGAGACAGGCAGAAGACAGGGCGGAGAGGCAAGCAGGAGCGCAGACTCGCTGCCGGCTCCACGAAGGACTCGTAGGTCAGAGTTTACCACGGAACTCTGTGTTCTGAGCCAGGCTTGTTCTAAGACTAAGTCTTATGTTTCTCCCAGAACTTTAAGCAGATCTCAGACGTGCTGACCACAGCAGCCTCTGGGGTGGGCAGAGCTGGGGAGATCAGCAGGGCAGTTATTCTGGCAAGGCCTCTGCCCTTAACGGTCTCTGGTCTCTGGCCTTGCTTCTCCGAGAAAATGAGAAACAAACAAAAAACCCAATCACTGGGACCAAGCCACGCCCCTGCTCATGGCTAGGCACCGCAGGGAGGCTGACCCTAAGGGAAGGGTGGCCTGGAAACCTCATGGAGAAGCACGACTCTCTAGCCGACCTACTCTTCCCATCTCAGATTTGTGGAGCTCCCCTCCTACAGCCACTCACTGCACTTGTCAGGTCAACACCTGCAACAAACCAAAGCATTTACCCATGTTGGAGAGGAAGACGAACTTCTTCTGGGGTAGCAATACGTCTCCTTAGGACATCACCTTGGATGAATAAAGAGGGCAACAAGGTTAAGCATTCAAGCAACACACTGAAACAGCAGGTGACCAGGGAAGGGAAGGGCTAAGGCCACAGAGAAAGAAACTTTTCCTGGAGTTGGACACTCACCACCAGCAGCAGCAGTGACTCCTTCTTCCAGGTCAGCAATGGGGTCAGGAAAGCCGCTGCCATCCTGACTTGCTGGGGAGACTGTTGGGAAGACAGCTGCTGGGGAATCTGTGGGGGGCGCTTTTGGGGGGGTCACCGGGGAGGCTGTCAAGGGGGCTTCCGAGGAGACTGGCAAGAGGGCTGCTGAGGAAGCTGGAGAGACCGCTGGAAAGGCCGCTGGGGAGGCAGCTGCAGAGCTGTCTGGGGAGGCTGCCGGAGAGACCACCGGGGACACCTCTGGAGAGGTTTCTGGGGCGGCCGCTGGGTGCAGCTGGACAGACGACTGCTCGGGGGCTGGTTGGGTCAGAGGTGGTGGGAAGTCCGATGTCTGAGTCTCCATCTCCTGTTCTGCATCACTACCATTATTCAGGTCAAAGCTGTTATCTAGACCCCAAAGGGACAGGATGGGGAAAGGAAATATTGTGTCACATGAAACGAGAAGATCTACTCAGTTAACCTGGACTGAGTTGGGCAGGGTTACTAGGACTTTCCCTAGGTCAGAAAAGAGAAGTGGCCTCTGGCTGTCCTCCCTAGCCATTCTGGAGGCTGAAGGGCAGAGCTCTTGCTGTCATGCTGTGAAGAAATACCTTTCACCTGGAGCCAGTGAAGCCGCTGGCTTCCTCTTTCCTGCAAACTCCAAGTGTCACAAGTTCTTTTGGACACAGGAAGAAGCCAGAGTGTAACTGCCCCTCAGCGTCCAGCAAGGCGCTCTCTCCTAAGGTCCTCAACATGGAACCTGTTCTCTCACCCTTCCCCAGGCCCAGGACTGTCTTTGTTCTTTGTTTCCTCACTCACCTTGCAGGACAGACTCCCCAAGGACGGGTGGAGAGGTGGGGCTGGCAAAGATAGAGGCTGAAGTCTGACTATCGTCTGCCAGGAGACTAAAGGCAGCGGTGTTGTTGAGAGAAGGGCAGTCGAGGGCAGAGATCACAGGGCTGTCCTCTAGCGGCAGCTTGTCCTCTGCACCCATCAGCTCCGTGTCGTCTATGCCATAGAGTCCTCCACTCACTGGCTCTTTCAAGGGTGGAAAAAGCAAAAAGCAAAATGCAAGACACTCTACGAACATAGCCACTTCGACTTCCCCCAGTACAGAGGTGCTCCCTAAGCGTTACAGCCCTCTCCATGCAAGAGCGGCCACCAGGCTGTAGCGACTGAAAAAGCTTGACGTGGCAATGAAGGGAAAGGCACTGGCCCTGTAATAAGCCCAGGCCACCACAGAATTCTAGCATCTCTCCCAAAATAGGCCTTGCCTGTATTCCAGTGGGGTCAAAGGTAATTGTTCACTGGCAAACTTCTTTCAAAGTTAGCTGAGAATCCAAACAGCCCAACTGTGTGGTAATAAGCCCTATTCAGTGAATTATTACAGCCCAAGGCTCTTGGCCAAGAGGAACACTGGGAGAGATTCTGGAAATGAACCAATTCAGCCCAGAGTGCAATGGCCCGTCAGGCCAGTGGCAGGAAAACGGCGTCTGCCACAGCACGATCTCCAGGCCCGAGGCCCCAACTCCCAAATGCCTTTTCTGGCTGCTGTCACCAGGCAGGAGAAGCTGGCTAACGCCTGCATAGATGAGCTGAAAGAAGTTGGCCTCCAGCCTACCCGGTGCCAGAGGATTGAAGGGCTCCAGAGAGACTTCACTGAGGATCGGAGTGTCTTCCAGTTGGTCAGGAAGATGTGAAGGATCATCTAAGCAGCTCACAGTGGGGTCAGGGACCAGGACAGAGACTTCTTGGTGTAATGATTCCACAGAAGGGACAGAACCATTGTAGCCACACATCTTCAGGTCTAGGAAATCCCAGGAGAGGGTGGAAATCAAAATCAGTGTCCTCAACTGGTTCAGTTAGCTACCACAGGCAGTCAATCTTTGCTAGAGAGATGTTCACTCGACATTTATGAGAGCCAGTTCTGTGCTGGGGACCAGTCATACCAAGAGAGTCTGAGGGAGCAGAGATGTGATGGTAAAACCCTACAGCAGGGAAAGAAAGGGGGTGGAAGACTGGAGTCTGATACAAGAACTCAACAAATTCTCAAGTTATTTCATCCATCCAGTGGAAGCAGGTGTTAAACAGAGAAAAGATTACGGCTTTACAGGGTAGTCACCCCTATACTTAAATCAATAGCACATTGAATTTTGAGGGAAAAGGCAAGAGGGTCCGTCGTGTGCACCCACGTACTATGTACTATGTCATCATCAGAGAGGAAACTGCGAGTAGACAAGCAATGCCAGGCTCTCCTTTCTTCCCTCCTCCCGGTACCCACCACCAGCAGGCCTCAGCCTCCTTTAGTGGCCAGTCTGGCCCTGCTGTAGCCAGTCAAGTTGGCCTCAAAGCTCCCTGCTAATAATGCCCCAACGTTCCTACACTCTGGAAGAAGCTCTTTTTTTTTGATGAGGGTGTTGGGGGCAGTTTAGGCTCGCCCACCTGCCCTCTCCAGGCCAGCAGCCCTGCACGAGCTCCACTCGGAGCTGGTGCCACAGAAACCCCAGCCACATGGCTCTGCTAATCACCAACATGCCAATCGGTCTCCACGGCAAAGAACTGGAAAGGTAGGTTCTCCTCACCTCAAAAAGCCACTGCCCCCCCACACCTCCTTTAACCCTCTCCCAAACCCAGCTCATGAACCCAGTTATACCTGGCTGTTCTTCTTCCAGCTCCAGGCTGCCTACCAAGCCAGTCCCATTCTCTGCCACAACTGAAGTCAGCTCCTTTTCTGATGCCTCATCTGGATGGAGACCACTGCCTACCTCCTGGGAGGGTGCAAAGGTCTGGATGCTGGATCCCAACATAGGAGAAGTCTGTGGAGAGGTGAAAAAACTAGGGGGTCCATTGGGCATCACCTCAAAATTCTGGTCAGGAAAGGAGTCATACAGTTCCTGTGAGTCGAAGTTAAGCCCCATGGGACTCTGGGTACCGTTGGCCCAGAACTCTTGGCTCCCAGCCCGAAGGTTAGTGTTGTGGCTTGGGGATGAAGTTTGTCGGCTGCCCCCAAGGATGCCGTTGAGTGGGTACTGTCCCCCAGAAAACTGGGAGAGAAGGGGTGGGTCCTTGAGGTTGCTGCCAGGATTGGCAGATGGGTACTGTGAGTAGTTCCAGAGACAGTCGTAGGCCACGCTGGGGTGATGATGGAGGTGTGAGGTGCTGGAGGAGTGGGGAGCAGAGTTCAAAATCCCTGAAGCAGTAGTGTGAGATACAGTAGATAAGCCGTTAACATTCACATCCCCATTCAAACCTGGCAGAGGAGGAGGGAAAAGGGTCAGTTACAAATATGCACGCAAAGTAATTCTACCAACTCTACCAAGAGACAGCACTGACTAGCAAAGGGAAGGTGAAGGGGAGGGGATTCCCCTCTGCTATATTTATAGCTGTGCAGTCTCCAGGGAACACCAAGCCCAGATGCTCCTAGGTGTGAGCTTAGCAACTACTGCTAAGGCTGCCGAGTAGGCTGAGAGCGCAGGGCTGGGCCTCTCTTCAATGAAGGCGTTTGCAGCCTCCTACAGTGACTTGCCTTCGTCCCCACTCCAGTCCCTATGAGCGTTCTTCCTTTGGAGTAGCACGGCTGAACTCTCCAAACCCTCCTTTCCCTGGTGCCTGTCTCCCCCGGCAGCGGCACCGAGGGGCAGCCCCCACCTCACTGGTACACGCAGACCCAGCACTTTGTGCTGGGCTAAGAAGAGAATTTGCAGTCACCACAGCAGCAAGATCCCAGCTCACAAGGCTGGACTTGGCCCCTCCTCACAGGCGCTGGAGGGAAATCTCTGCATGGCCAGTACTGCAGACTTTAGTTCTCAGCCCAGCAGCAACTCTGGGCTGGAGGACAGGCACATACACAGACACTAAGGAAGCTGGGGGGAGTGGGAGCGTCCTCCAGGAAACAAAGGAGCTTCTGTCTGCAGCTCCCTTCTGGAAGGTACTGGTGTGGCAAGGAAGGAGGAGAGCATCTTTCTGCTTCCAAGCATAAAGCACCTGAAACCCAGGCAAGATTAGAGGGACTTAGCAGAGACATGCTACAGAGCAACTTATTGGCCAAATCCAGAAAAGACCCCTCCTGGCCACAAAACGTCTGCCTGCAATTAGACGCTTCTGGGGGCCAAGCAGGCATCGAACCTCTCCCTGTCCCGACTCGTCTCCCAGGACATGAGGTGGCACAGGCACTTCAAACACGTGCCCTGTTCTGTGCTGCACAAACTAACACCCCAACCTTCACCCAACCCTTCCACTCCAGTCGTAATCCCAGCCCTGGCTCCAACCCTTCCAACACTTTTATTGCTCTCACGGGCACAACCTGGTTATCACTTTCTCTGGCAGTAGCCAGGGAACAGAGCTGAGAGAAGAGCAGGTTACGACGAAAAAGCCATCATGTTTTCCTAATACCTTCCGACCTTAAATCAAGACCAAGTCTTATTTCAGAGACCTCTAAAACTTGCTCCTAACAGCTCAGGTTCTCTCCAGCAGCTGGAGTGCTGCGGAGTGCGCCCTCCCTCCCTCCTGGCACAGAAAGACAGTCAGTCGTGAGCCAACCTTGTCCCACCTGGTCCTATCCTAGAGAAATGGTGCCCAGTCCCCCCCCATGCCATGTGGCTCTCGCACTCACTTTTCCCTTGCTGGGGGCAGTTCATGGGAGACCCGTTAGTGTAGAGGCCCTCCCCTGAGGAGGGAGAGGGTTTCAGTCCTGAGGCAGCAGGTGCAGGGGGAAGGCCAGTAAAGTTAAAATGGTCGTTTGCCTCCATTTCTGTAGGAGGGAGAGAGAGGGGGAAAAAATACTGGCGGTTAAAAAGAGGTTACATTACCTGGAACCTTCTAAAAAGGGAATGCCCCCCACCACCACCTATTTACTTACCCTTTCCCTACCTACGTAGAGGGGAGGGTAGAGCTTGAGAAAGAAGAAATATGCCCCTGACCTAGGCAATAACTCTAAATAAAATCTTTTAAAGACTGCCTTGTATCAAGAGATTAAAAAGAGTGAGAAAACCACAACACAGCCCGCAAGAATCTTCCTCCAGCATCAGCCCCCTCATCGTAACTCCCAGCCCAGGTTCCCTGCGTGGTAGATCCCCTTTATGGGAACATTTAACATTTTCCGTCCTTCTGTTTATTTTTCACACTCAAGACCAGGCCAGAGTCCACGGCCGGGGCCCATAGCAGGGTTTCAAAGCCATCATTTTAATAAGCAACCAAGGAGGTCAGGGGTGCTGGAAGATAAGATGTGTTTAACATACACACTGCCTGATTTTCTTACTATTTGAGGTAAATGATCTTGACGTTATTTACGCCACAACTCTAGACATCTGAAGATACAGCTTTCTTTTCCATCGGAAACAGCATGTTCTCTAAGAACACAGCTCAGGAAAATGTCAAAGGTAGAAAACATTATGTAAGAGGACGTCCCAAAGAATATTACCCTAACATGCCTACTATGGTTACTCCCCAATGTTTTGGTTTTGTGGCTTATATACAAAAGACATGGAGAGAACAGCTGAGCACTCATATTCATTTTTTAAAAAGATTTATTTATTCATGCATACAAGAACTGGGGTATGAGCCAGAGTGTGGGGTCGGGGGGTGGGGTGAGAACATTCACCAGAGACAGAGTGGGGAGAACAGGCTGACCTATTGAAATACAATGCTGAGGGGAGCAGCCGTGAGACAGGTCTGCTGCGCCCTGGGGGTCCCTCCCTGGCCAGGGATCAAACTGGTGCTGCAGTGGTGGTGGACAGCTTCATGGTGCTGCGCTTTCACCCCTGCGCCACCAGAGAGGGTCCTGCACATTCATATTTATAAGATGTGGAGGCTCATGGGGAGGCAAAGGGGCGTGGATAGTATGGCAAAATTTTTCACTCTCTCCTGCATATAAGATTATACTGCTAGGAGTAAGTGAATCCCCTGATCAGAATAAGTGTAACTTTGATAGAGCAAAGAAAAGGAAGATAGGAAACAGAAGCCTGAATTATTGATGAAGCCTGACAATTCAATCAGACACCTGCTGTACTGGTGCATAACTAATACAGACACGATGTCTTAAGACAGAAAAAAGCTCCTTGAGTAACTATGTTTTTAAAAAGGCTAGAAGAGTTCAGGTACAATGATCTCTTTATCAAGTTCATAAGATAAAACAATACATAGCTAGAGTGTTCTAGATAACTTCTTTATAAAAAAGAACCAGAAGAAGGGCATTTTGAAGAATAAATAAATTGGTTAACACATATCAGCATTTCCCAAGGTTTATATGTTCCTGGAGATGTTACATAATGCAAATTACAAGCAGTAGGTGTTTATGTGACTCTAACTTAATTCTGAGCATGAAAATACAAATTTAGAATATATCATGATAGCTATAAGATTTTTCTGAGCTAAATAATTGTCTCTCCATCAATTTTAACAAATAAAAAATAAAAGCAATCTGTGCTCTGTTGAGCTAAGGGGGAAAAGTTTTGAAGATTGGCTTATCCCCCATCTTCACTCTAAAATAAGCAGATCTAAATAAATCTGCTTCAATGAGAAAAGCCAGGTTTCTAGTAGAAAAATCCTCCAGGATTTCCTCAGCAATACAGGGTCTGAAAAGCAAGTATCACGGATATATCAAGGATATATCAAGACATCAAGACATTAAGAAGGCAAGCTCATTTCCTCGTCCTGAGGTAAGGTTCCCTGCACAGCTTACACCACAGAGCAAGGTACTCAGCGTTCACCCTGGACCTCAGTCTTCTCCAGTCCCGCGTTTCCACGCAGCCACACCTCTCTCCCCGGCCAGACTCTATCTTTCTGCTCAACCATGGTCCATTTTTTTCATTCTCTATTTGAATCCCTGAGGAGACTAGTGACCTCCCTGCCACTCTGGGGAAGCCTGTCATTTCCTGCCTCATAAATTACATGCTATTAATTAGACTAAAGGGACAGGGCGGCTCACAGACACCAGGTAAGTGACAGGAATAGGAGTGACCTAAGGTGTCCCGTCCCCCAAAGCCACACCACAACTCGCTTTACTGAAGGGTCAGCAGGGCCACAACCACTTCATTCACAAGAAGCTTCTTCGCTCTGTAAAATACTCTTTGTGCTATGGAGTGAGACCAGCACGACACAGTGGAGTCTAGGTTCAGGCCCCAGATCTGCCACCACTAGCTGTGTAACCTCGGAAAAGTTACTTAATGTTGCTGAAGTTTTGGTAGGTACCTCCAGGTTCATGAGGACAAAATGAGCAAATTACACCAAGGACTAGCTTAGTGCCCTGCCCTTCCATCCAGCTGACGCTCGGGAAACGTTATTCCCCCGAAGCACATACAGTTTTGTAAACCAGTGTTACTTCAATAAAAGGAATAAAATTGTTAGCTATTACTATTAGATAAAGACTGCTTAGTTTCCAAAACGATAATCAGGTCCAAAAGGTCAATATAGAAGATAAATGTAATTTTTAAAAATCATTACCAGTATGGAAATACCATAAATTAGGAATGATACTCTCAGCCAGGCTTCTCTACACATAACCTGACTCTTCATTTCAGTCACTTTAATATGGGGTCACAGTATGGGAGGCAAAGAACATGTGGACAACTAGCTCCTCAGCAATAAACCCAGCGTTTTCCACAACAAAGCCTGAAGGGAATCCATGCCCTCCTCTCTAGAGCTACTAGGAACAGTAAAGCAAAGGAGAGCGTTTCCCTTTGAACCAACAGGATTTTGGCCAAATGAAAGAAGCTCAGCAAGCGCCCAACCCCCGCCCCCAGCAGCAGGGCCCTTACAACCAGGAAGTAGGGCGGCAGGGGAACCCAGCCCGGGCCCAGCAGTATGTAAATGGACCTTCAGGGCCCGCAGGCTCATCGGGAAGAGTTAAGGGACACTGCTCCTGAAGCTGGAAGCCGTGAAGCCTTTGCCACACTGCCACAGAGCCTGCTTCCCAGGCACAACTGCAGAATTACTAGTCCGCAGACCTGTGACATGGTTTTAACACAAAAGGGCTGACAAAGCGGTGTTGAAATACGTATTACAGACTTTAACGCTGTTGTAGGTGCCCTGACCAACCCTAATAGTCAGACCTCTGGGCTGCTACCCCCCAAAACACAAGACACGTTAACAACATCCAGCTGGGCACTCCGGCAGGCCCTGTCATTCTTTGGTTCTGTCTTCTCAGTATATACCAAAACTCCAGAGAGGTTTCCAACTTTTTAAGAAGCAATGAAAGATGTCAAATGTTTCTTTACAAACCTTGCTATAGTTTATCACTATGTTTAAGCTGTATAATTTGAATGTTCCAAGGTCTAAACTCTACATACCTCAGCAAAAATGAAGATCACCCAATATACAGTAAGTTGTTCCTAACCAAGGTTGGTTTCACCTCTGGGGGGCATTTAATCACAGGAAAATGTTTATGCTACTGGCTTCTGACAAACACAGATTGGGCATGCTTCTGAAAGAGCCTGAAAACAAAGACCTCTACCACCACAAAATTTACCTGGCCCAAGGTATGCCTGGACTGAAAAGCCCTACTTGAATACAAAAGCTGCCCATTTCCCACCCCTTAACTTGGGATGGTTCAAAAATGTTCACTGCTCCCAGTTTCTGTTGCTGCAAATCAGGATGTTTTTGCCGTTCCTATCTAAGCACCCCAATCCCTGGGGAAATACCCCCTCTCCACTAACAGAACACCAAGCGCCAAGCAACAAAATCCACAGACCTTCTTCCCGTGAAGTCAGCCCATTCTGAGGGCGATGGCAACAACCTCCCTTGGACTGCGGCTCCGGCTACTGCACAAACTGACTGAGGCTCTCTCAAAATGCCCTTTCCTACTACCCCTTTTCCTCGTCATGACAGTGAAGCAGGGAAAAGCAGCAAGATTATACCAAGAGGGCTACTCAAAGATAATTGCCATGGTTCAGCTGCTCAGGAGAACACAAACCTGACTATTCTCTACCCTTATTTCCTCTAAGTGACACAGGTTTTACAGCATCAATCAGATATTAAGTTCTACTATTATGTATCCAGCACTCAATTTAGTACTAAGTACATAAAAGAGCCAAAGGAAATACCTATTCAACACATAGATTATACAAACGAATGAAGAAATCTCTCTCCTGCTCCTGCCAGTATACTCATCCAATAAAGGCTGTAGTTTTGCTCCTGCTATTCTCAGAGAACCAAAAAGTCTAGCTTCACCTTTATAGAGATAAAAAAAAAAAAAAGTCTATAAGGTACAAGGGGTTAATGAAAGCCCAACACTATGAAGTTATCCCAGGCCACTGCAGGCCGAGTTCCATCCCAACCAAGACAGCGACCCACGTGGCGCGGCAGACCTCTCCTGTCTCGCCCACTGCTCCCGTCAGCAGTGTATTTCAGTAGATCTGCCTGTTCTGCTCCCCACTCTGGTGGATGCTCTCATCCCACCCCCAAGCCACCCCCACTCCGGTACCTCTGGCCTATACCCCAGTTCCTGGATGCACAAATAAATCTTTTAAAAAAAAAAAAGGCAATAAATTTAAACTCAAAATAAGCAAAATATTCTGCTTGATTTCAGAACATTCAAGGCCCATAAGTTCTAAAATACTGACTGGCTAAATGAACCACAACAGCCTAGCCTAGGTTTTCTGCCAAAGCTCTAGTCACCTCTCTGGGAGGTTGGAAATGCCTCTGATACTGCAGGACACTAAAAGCCACCGTTGCAGAGGTTGTAACAAGGTTATTTCCCACTCAGCTCTTTCTAAAAATTTGACCCTTAGAAGTTAAAGACTACTCTTTCCTTCAAGAAAATAACCTTCGTCCCAAAAAAACCTCAAGTGAACATGGAGGTTAATGTATGGTAGTTATATTTATCTTTTTAGTTATAAAATGGTCCCCGTAATTATTCTCTATAATTAAGAGGTCAAGCACTAAGTAACATAGTAACACAGTGTTACTTTTACTACCAATGACCAATTTCATAACAATCTTCAGAGCTCTTCAAAGACAGTATTTTAATTCACAGAATTTTGTAAATTTCATAATTATGCAGACCAACCGGTGAAAAATGACCCTTCTGATTCATGTGCACATGCTGAGAAGGTGCTGATCTTACATGAGGCACATGAGGACTGCATATCCCAAGAAACAAATCAGGAAGATTACTTGCCCCACAAAACACATCAAGAGTTTACACTTCATTGTCCTAGAACATAAAACCTGTGGTATCACTGCCTCATTGTACACACCTCATACAAGGTCAAATATCACAGTCACTGTACCAGCTCCATGCTACTTGAACAGTAAAAGAACACAGCAGACCTCTTCAGAAGTGATAAGGCCAACAGCAGCCAGGCAGTAACCCTGACAAGCCTTGCTTCTCTCTTGGCAACAGCTGATTCCAGAACCACCAGCCTGCGAGATGACCTCTCAGGGCATTCTAGATTTCTCACTGACTATATATAAGAGACTGGCTCTAACGTCAGTCCACACAGTTCTCTCTATACCTCAATTGTCTTTCCCCTTCAGGAGAAACTTTACAGAAAAATTAGTTGCTATTAAGAAACTAAATTCATATTATAAGATCATGAAAGGTTACCTTCATTCAACTTTCTGATCAAACAGTATCAGCTTTCTCCTTTCTTCACCATTTTAACTCTCAACAGGAGAAATCAATTTACTTACTATTCTGTCAGGTCCCACTTTAGGTAAACAAAGGTTGAATAAAGGGGAACTTTAAAATCAGTGTCAAATCAACCCTATTAAAAAGCAATTCAAAGGAACCAGCCAGTCAAGCAGAGGAGCAAGAAAAGGGACAATTACATCAGATGGGATTTGTTTTTACGCTTTCCAGAATATCAACTCCAACAGTCTTGTGAAAAGAGCAATGACATTAACAGTGATAATGATGCAGTCAGTCATTCCTACCCTGTATATTTAATCTAGGAGTCTACAATTCAATGGAAACTTATGACTTTTTCCAGATTACTTAAAGACCAGGTTTAAGCAGTTTTCAGGATAATCCAAGTGATAATGCCATCTCTCAAAATATAAAATCCTGCAACCCACTCATTTCTACCTAAATCCAGCGTCTTAACACGGTGCCTGGGGTCACTGTACAATCTCCATCATAGTATGCTGTAACAGAAATCTGGAATTATCTAGTGGGAGAAACAGAACCTGGATATTTAAATTCGCACAAGACAGGGGAAGAGCTTATCATTCTCCGAGAAGTGTGGAAGGGTAAATCATATGACACCTAGTTGGCTATGCTGAAGGTTGATGCCCCAGCACCCTACCTCACAGGGACTACCCTTAAACTAGTGACCCCTGACCAACTCTGCACATTAGTTCCCACCCCAACACATAGATCCCTTCAGCTAAGTCTTCCAACCGCTCAGAACCTAGCTTTCTCCACCCCCCAAGCTCACTTGCTCTGCTGTACAAAAACTATCACAATTCATATACTAAGCCGGATCCCCCACCCACCCACCCACTCCAGGCCACAAAAGATCCCAACTGTCGAGGGAATTTGCATCACTCGTATGCGGAGGGCAGCCCTGCCGGCAGACTCTCAGTCTGCTTCTCTGACCTCCAGCTCAAGGAAGGGAAAAAACACAAAAAACCCAGACAGGGAGACAGAGGTGTTCTGGAGGGACGACCAAGATCAGGATCCACGAACCAACTGCAGGGGCTACTTCCCACGGACAAATTAAGTTTACAAAAAAGAAAAAAAAAAAACAAACTCGAACGAAAGGACTCTCGGACCACATGGCTGGCAGGATCCAAGGCCTCGGAAAATGAAACCAAATCTGATTAAAATGGACATTTCAAAACAACAACGAGACGCAGCAGCAAACGCACAGCTGCCATTTCCCGGCCACTTCCTGCGGGAGCTGGGGGGGGCGCTGTCCGTGTGCGGGGGGGGGGGGGCGCACCCTGCCCCCGAGGGTGCCCGCTCGCTCCCGCAGCCTACAAAGGCGGCCCCGGCTCTGCCTCCCCCGACGACGGAAAGGGCAGGAGAAGGGGTGCTGTGAGCTCCCCTACTCCTGCCAAGGAAATGGGGATCCCCTTCCGGAGGGAGCCCTCTTGAAAAGGGGTCCCTCTTTATCCCCGGCTTCAGCCCCTCGGCCCGCTCCAGCGCGGACGCCGCCGCCATCCACCCCGGGCCGGGCGGGCTTCCCCGGGGCTCGGGCCCTAGGCCTCCCGGGCCGCCGCGCCCCGGAGAACGCGCGCGCCCCCCGCCAGCAGGGAGACACCCAGGAAACCCCTGGACCTCCACTCGCCCTGCCAGGGCGCCGGGTCCCCAACACCCGAGCGCCTACCCGCCCGGGGCACCCTCACCCACGCCCCCCCTCGGTCACCCCCCAGGCGGTGGCGCCCCCCCGGGGATTCC